ATCAGCATGCAGACATGCACACACTAATACACCATCAGCATGCAGACATGCACACAGACACACCACATGGATGTACGCATGCATGGAGGTGCACACACGCTAACCACATTCAGGCCAATGCAAGCACAAATGCACATGAAAGACACTCATAAACATCACCGCAAACATGCAAACACGTGCACAGGAGCCCGATGTAGAAACTGGAGGGAAGCTGGAAACACAGTGAATTCCAGTGGCAGCTTGTGGGAAGAGCCAGGGGCACCAGTGTCAGCAGCAGGGCTGCAGGGTCCCCGTTGGCAGGGGAACCTTGCTGGCAGACATGGAGAGCCACCACAGTTCCATAGAAACATTTATTTACTTTAGCAGACCCTTTTATTTAAAGCAACATTCATTCAAATTAAATCACAGGTTAAGGGCCTTGCTTAGGGGTCCAATGGTGGCATCACTCTACCAAGGTTGAGATTATTTGATCCAGCAACCTTCTGATCATAAGCAGTGTCCTAACTCACTGCAATTAGCCCCCCAGCCCAGCCCTCAATGCGGCACCACGCACAGCTAAAGATCTAACACAACCATCCCTTACCACCTGTGTAGCTTAGCTTTCACTGAGTGTGCCATGCTGTCCATGTAATTCCATTTATTCATGTTATCAATAAATATTTTAATAGCACTTATGTTATTTAATACGTAATTAGCGGTTTCTCATCGGCACGTGATTGTGCGCTGCTTGTGGCATCGTTTCCCTGGGCAGTCTGAGGCAGAGCTTAACGGTTATCCTCCCCAGAGAGTTCAGATCAGAGCTTAAACTGTTTCCTTGGTATCACAATGGGCCACCAGTCCATCAGTAACTCCCAGCTAAGCGGTTGGACATTGAATAGCCTCTGAAAAAGCCATGTTGCCTCTTTCATTTACAAAGTTGACTTCTAGAGCTTATTTTTACCCATGCACCTCTCAGCAGCTTAAGCTGAACAGGGTCACAGATATCTGGGTCCTATCCCAGACAACACGGGGCTCAAAGCAGGGGGACGTCCTGGAGAGGGTGCCAGCCTATCACAGGACACCTAATTTTATCCTAAATAAAGGTTGGGTTTGTATATTTATGACTGGATACTTACACAATTAAACCACACAGTACCCCTTTTGAATAAAACCGTTACTTTGTAGGACCGATGGAAAAAAGAGATAAAATACTTCCCAGCTCCCCAATAAAAACCACAATTCTGTCCTGTCAACAGCCCACAGATTTCCCTCCAGTAGATTAGGGTGGTCTGCGATGTAGGGCATGATCCCTTTAAATCTGAAACAAATTGCAGTGGTTCTAATCCCTGGCCAGGTATGGGGGAGCCTGACGGAGCGCTCACCTCAGAGCCATCCGCATGTCAGCACGTTTTATTAGCTGTTTGCAGCAAAGCATGTTGGGTCTTTGCCAGGCGCGATGTACTAATAAAGGCGCAGATGAACATGGATAAGCGCCGCCGGACTAGCAAGTTACGGAATGGTACCGTGCAAAGCAACTTAATCGTTTATTAATTTTACGGCGTTAAAGCCAGTGCATTTACCCGAAGAAACTTCCAGAGCTTCTTTATTGCAATACCAAATTCTTCAACATACGTACAATAGCAGTTCTCATACTGAGATCTGTAATTGCAAATGCAGATTCTTAACCGCTAACCGCTGGGCGATGTGTGCGGATTCTCGTTAATATCTGTATTTTTCGGAAGTGGAAAAGGGATGTAAATTAAAATAGTGTTTTGGATGTAGGGCTGTGTTGTCGTAGTTCCTTGTATTTGATTTACTTCTCTCTCGGTGTTGCCTAATCCAACAATAGCGAGCGCTAATTGCATTTTAATTTATATTAAAACTGGCAGGCAGCAAAGACAGTTTTACAACTCATCGTATGCAGACTTGCTAAAAGTTTGGTTAATGCTGGTGGTTTCTGTGTATTTCAGCAATCCCGACTTTAATATATTGTCAGAGGCGCACAATTCCCGTGGCAAAGTGAATAAAACGTGTCATATGTCTGGTGTAATTTGTAAGCATATTCCGCTGCCTGGGCTCGACCCAAAACTAACATGGCGTAAAACAACGAATAGATGAAAATGACATTATAGCTCATTAACTGAACGCTGTATTATTATGTAAATGTGACTTTGATTGTGTTTGTATAACGCGCTTAATTGTTTCGTTTTTTCTTTGATCTAGGAGGGATGCTAGTTTCTTCTTCTCCTTTATTTTCAGACTGTCTTCTGGGGGTGGGGAATTGTAGAATAAGGCCGGCTTTGTTCCTGACCGACTCCAGGTGTTTATCACTCAGACACGTTAATGGCTCCGACTAAAAAGAAAAGAAGAAAAAAAAAACATCTGAAAACTTCAGCAAAACTAAGGAAGCCAGCGTACCGAAAATATTCCTAGCTCTCTAAACCACAAAACTCTCTCCAACTGAAGAAAATAAATGATTTTCCCCTTTGCTTTCTATTGACACTCGTTTCTCGACATATTTCAAATTAAAATAGGCCTACATATTAGCAAAGTACTGTCGATTATGTTTTTTACTGGGACGTGGTACAATTTAAACGTTATGTTTAATATCTCCGCACTCAAAGAAGAACTAATGAAACCACACTCGCAGGGCAATTTAGTGAGTCGGGGATCTGAGGTTAATTGGAGGGGTGTATTTGTGTTTGCTTAACGGGGAGATGTTTGCTTAAGCGTGGCCGGGGCGTGTGGCTGTGTGCGCAACTCGCACGGCCGGTGACACACTGCTGGCCATTGAACACCACCGCCAAGGACGGATGGCTGGATGGATAGGGAAATGGATGGATTGAGGGTTTACCCAATTTGGAATCGCGCTCTGCAATCCGCTCCAACTGCAACAGCACGCTTAGTTTTTAAGGAAGTGTTAAATTGCTGTAAATAAATCACTCTTCCACATTTCGTCGATTGTGGGGATAGGGGCACTAATGGGGGGGAGGCGAAATGTTTCGTTTCTGAAGCAATCAGGCGAGTTGGCAGTTGATGGTAAATAAACCTCGTATTTTTAATTTGCTCTCTGCGGGCATATGGAAAAGCGGGCGCCCTAAATCAAGCGGCAGAACGCGGTA